CTTTGTGTTGAAACATTCATAGAGTTTTCTTTTTACAATTCAAGAAAGTGAAATGACAGGAATCAAACTTTTTCTTAACGTGTTACGATAAAAATTCAACCAGTTAAATTTAAAGTCTAACAAGTCTAAAAAAAGCGAAAAACATCTTATAGTGCATTTAGATGGCATAATTAATAACTGAGACATTCTGAATTCACATTGGTGAAATAGTTAAGGAGAGACATATCCATTATATCAGCTTGATGATCATGATTCATGATTCATGACAATGAAAGGGTGGTGGTATTGTGCCTTAAACGTCAATGATTCTCTACCAACATTTTCAAACAAACCCATCACAGCGTTCTCCACAATATAAGACACCAAAAGCGACGTCCTGCTGTTTTCTAGAAGCTCATTATTTTTTTAGTGCTTTTTAGTGCCTCCGAGTCCTCCCCATTGAAACAAAAGGACCGACAAAATAGTTCACAGCCTTGTGCTCCCATTTAGTCTTTTACCATTGTAACTTTTTTTATTATTATAGTATAAGCGATAGTCTAAATTACAATGGAGGGAATTTTGCACACACAAAAAAAATTATGATGTTGTGGAGATTCAAACCTGAGACCTCTAATCTTTTATCATTCGTCTTAATTACATATTAGGCTAGTCATTTTTATTTACTTAACCTCCTGATGATTCCTATCAAAGGCTAGTCATTTTTATTTACTTAGTCTCCTGATGATTCCTATGAAGGAGCACAGGAGGACAAATGCAAAAGATATATGCATATATATAAGTATCTTTCAACTGCTTTCCTCTTTTTTACCTCCTTTTTTCTTTTTCTTTTTTTTTTTTTCTTTTTTTTTGGGTTGTCTTTTCCGGGTCTTCCATTCATTTTGTTTTTACGGGAAGCTAAACATTTGTCACCTGGCCAAAGGGGCCCAAGAAGAATACTAAACCATTAGCCTAATTGGCCTAAACTTATTAACAACCAACATGGGCTGGACTGGTCTGGTGTGTCCACAACATTTCAAGAATGAGTTTCATCCTTGGGCTGGTCGGCAATAAGGGCAGGCTTACTAAGGATAGGCCCCAACCTAAATGTGATCGGAAAGGCTGTGTCTTATTTGTTGGGTTTAAGAAACTAGTAGATTCGATTTTTCCATCTCTAATATGCAAAAAAATTTATATATCCAATTTGATTCAACGGTTAAGAAATAGGGCATTGAAGAGCCTTCTATAGAATGAAACCTTGTACTTTCAAAGTTGGGTACAAGTTGACTGGAATTTTGACAATTTTTTCTCAATTAAATGAGTCAAGTTAAATCGACACAAACTGGCACCATGAAATTCCTGTTTTCTGTGGCATATGATATGTGAAAAAAAGAAAAGAGGAAATTGCCGCTTGTCCAAAAGAAATGTATAATATTGCCTAAGTTCGTCCTTTATGAAAACTTTGCATCAGGAAGTCACAAAGTTCGGATCATCAAACAATCCCAAGCAGATTAGTTTGAGATAAGATTAGTTTCCATTTTCCACACTTCCCAATTTCTCTGCGAAGCTTTAACGTCATCACTCATCATCAGCCTCCCCATCTCTCTCCCTCTTTTCATTTATTTATCGCCGATCAGATCAAATTCTAAAAATACACGATGCAGCCTAGCTCAGGAGAAAACGTGAATCAACGGATTGCTAGAATCTCCGCTCATCTCGACCCTCCAAATCTCCACATGGAGAACACTGCCAGTGTCAGCCGCTTGAATTGCCGCGCCAAGGGCGGCGCTGCCGGTTTCAGAGTAGCCGTACTCGGAGCAGCAGGAGGCATAGGACAGCCTCTCGCCATGCTGATGAAGATGAACCCGTTGGTCTCCGTTCTCCATCTGTACGACGTCGTGAACACCCCTGGCGTCACCTCCGATATCAGCCACATGGACACCGGCGCCGTCGTAAGTTCCCAAATTTGAATTTCGTTGGTTCATTCATTACAATTCCCAAATTTCTGAATTTCTAAAAATTTCAAAGATTGGGTGATTGGATTTGTAGGTGCGTGGATTTTTGGGGCAGCAGCAGCTAGAGGAAGCGCTGACCGGAGTGGATTTGGTGATCATTCCCGCCGGCGTGCCCCGAAAACCGGGCATGACAAGGGACGATTTGTTCAACATCAACGCCGGAATCGTCAGGACGCTTAGTGAAGCAATCGCTAAGTGCTGTCCAAACGCCATTGTCAACGTGATTAGCAACCCTGTGAACTCCACTGTTCCCATTGCAGCTGAAGTTTTCAAAAAAGCTGGCACCTTTGATCCTAAGAAGCTATTGGGTGTCACCATGCTTGATGTTGTTAGAGCCAATACTTTTGTGGTATGCATTTGGTAAAATTTTCTCATGTTTCATTACTACACCATTGGTCATCTTGGTTATAATTCATGAGTGTGATTTTGTTGCAGGCAGAGGTTCTGGGGCTTGATCCTAGGGACGTTAATGTGCCCGTTGTTGGGGGTCATGCAGGGGTTACAATTTTGCCTCTTTTGTCTCAGGTTCAGGACAGCTTGTTTTTAGATTCTCAATCATGTGTGTGTTGGTATAGAGTTGAGTTAAATTCATTGTTGTTATTGTTTTATACAGGTTAAGCCTCCATGCTCTTTCACCCCAAAAGAAGTTGATTACCTAACAGATCGCATTCAGAATGGTGGAACTGAGGTTGTTGAGGTGAGTAACCAGTGCTTGTTTTGTTGAGTTGTTGCTGCATATTGCGCTAATCATGTCATAAGTCCAGGCTATATGCATTATTCCTAGGTGAAGGGAACTGTCCCTGGCTTTGCACTCTTATTTGTTTATTAAATTGTTGTCTTTCTAAGAATTTTAAAGAATGGTTTGAAAGAAAATAATGTGAGAAATCAGTCATGATCTTGCACCAGACAGTGTGGAAAAAAATTTAAAGTTCTGTGCAGTACGCCGAATGCTGATACAGCAAAAAAGTAGCTGTATGAAAAAACCTTCCATTATTTATGTAGTTACCTTCCTGTTTGTTCAGATGCTATACAATTAATTAAATGAGCATTAGGTGCTGACTCTTTCTATGTCGAGTACCTTCTTGGTTTTATAATTATAGAAAGGTGCAAATCAGGGTATGGAAGATAGATTATACAAATGACAGTGTAAGATAGGGGTGCTTGGTGTCACAGGCGTGCTCTTGTGAAGAGATTACTTCAAAATTAAAATTTTTGTAAGGGTTGCAGGTATTGATCACTTTTGCTATTTCTTCAGAGTTTGTAGGCGTAGATTCCTGAAGTAGTCATTTGATATTAGGCAAGGAACGGGTTGTATAGTTTTAGGCTTTGAGCAATCTCATGGGCTTGATAGTAGCGCGGCACCCTGCTTTTTTGGCTTTAGGCTACCATCTCTGCTCAATACTGTAACCTTCTTTAACACTATGCTTTAGTTTGATGCGTCTTCTGTATCACGATTGAATCTTAGAAAGTTAGTTTAAAGAATAGTACCTAGCTTCAAAACTCTTTGCCATCTTATGCTCCATCTTGACATTGTTTCAGGCCAAAGCTGGAGCTGGTTCTGCAACATTATCAATGGTTAGTTATAAAAGTTAGTTTTCATAAGTTCTCTTTTTTCCCGTTATTTCTTCGTAAATCCTTGTTTTCTAGCTGTTTTGACTTTCAACCTGCTTAAATCTTACAGTAAGTGAAAATTGCAGGCATATGCCGCTGTTAAATTTGCAGATGCATGCCTCCGTGGCTTGCGAGGAGATGCCAGCGTTGTCGAATGTGCATTTGTGGCTTCTCAGGCATGTTACTATCATCATTTCATTTGGCGTTGTCTGAACAGGTTTATCTAAAATCATAAACTGGTTTCTATTGTATTTGACCTAACAAGGCACGCATGCGTGTTGTAGGTGACTGAACTTCCCTTCTTTGCATCCAAGGTACGGCTTGGCCGTATTGGAGTTGAGGAAATATATCCTCTTGGCCCCCTGAATGAGTACGAGAGGTCAGTAATTTTACCTGTTTTGAACCCTTGCAATTGCCTTATCTTATTTCTCTATATGAGACAAGTTTGACATTTTTCAAAACAGGGCTGGCTTGGAGAAGGCAAAGAAAGAATTGGAATCAAGCATTCAGAAGGGGGTTTCTTTCGTCAGAAAATGAAGAGGTGCTGGTGACGACTTTATGTTGGAGATATAGCCATGTTAGATGGTCCATTATTTTCTCAGGATCACAGAGATAAAAAATAAATAAACGGTGGGTAACCAGATGCAAGCTGGGGCTCTTTACAACTCCTTGATGTAGGGCATGACACAAGGTTCTTGAGTTGTGTGGCATAGCTTGTATGGTTCTGGAATTTATTTTATTTTCATTTTAATTTACTTTTTCCTTTTATTTTATGGCTGATCACTGATCATGTTTGGACGTTGGACTGAGATTAATTACACATGGACTCTGTACATAAGCTTGGGCATAGCTGAAGGTTCTGTAACAATCAAAATTCTGGAATATGATGGACAGTAAAAATAGAGTCCCTAATAAGATCAAAATCTCTATGCAAAAGAAGAGAAATTTTAAATTGAAGGATAATTCCAATATCTCATTTGACTCTGCCATCAACAAAATGCCATCCGTGGAGTTCTCTCCTTCATATCTCACATCGTCTCCGTCCATTATCTTTGTCTTTCTACTATTTTTCTTCTCTCTCCTATGCTTATCTAAATATTACCAAAAATAACGCTGCCGAGAAGTGAGGGCCTCCGGAAGCACCCGGTGCGTGGCCCCTAATCGGACACCTTCCCTATTTAGGAGGGCCACGACCTCCCCACAAAAGCTTGGGCAACATGGCTGACAAATACAGGCCAATCTTCACAATCAAACTGGGCATGCAAGGAGCTCCAACGTTCATCAATTGCATATAGTTATTTGATTATGTAAATTTCCATTTGTGTGTAAAAAATTTCATTGTTTAGTTGAATTCTAGTCATCGAACTTTAGCTAAGAAAAAATAAGTTCAAAGGGGGAAGCCAAATTCTCAATTAGGATTGAAAATGTACCCGTGTATATAGTAGAAAACGTACTTTGAGTTTACAACATAAAATCATACTAATCACCGGCCTTCTACCTGCCCTTGTGTTTGCTTGCACCAAAAAAAAAATATTCTACTAATCCACTATAGAAATGACATCTTCTATAGTGAATATTATGAAGAAATGATTACACACCAAACCAAACTGCCATCAAAATAGAGCAAGGAACACCAACATTGTCTTCAACTTATCATATGTTAAAGATTGATCATGAAGCAATTGGATCGGGTGTGTAAATAAACTCCTACATGTTAGGAAAAATCAGTAAATAATTATATTAAATGATCACTAAAATTAATGCAGTAACAACAAATCAAATCTATTTAAATAAAATAGGGAGCTTTAGTTTTAAAACACAAGCATACTATGCCATATTTCCATATCCAACCAACTACCACCGCTGGCCAGCCACCGCCCACCCCCCCCCCCCCACCCCCCCGCCCCCCGCCGCCGGCCAACTGCCATCGTCGGCCGCCACAGTCTACAAGGGACTAACTCCGTTGCCCTTTATTCACCTTTTTAAAAAAAGATTTTGTGTCATTGAAGAGACTTGAACCTTGACCCTTAAAGGAGGAAGGCTCACTCACAAACCACTACACCAAACTTTATTTTGTAATATTTATTCAGTTATACAATATTTATATAAAAAAACAAAAAAACAAATCATTTCAACACATGTTCACACAAAAACTGCAAATAAAAACAGAAACTGCAACAAAAATACAATGTAGATATCAATTATAATAATAATAATTATTTTTTAAATAGCTACAAAAACAAAAATTAATTTTATTGAGGCAAAATGGAGGAACTAAGATGAAAGTACTAAAATGGAAACTGCGATGCAGAAACAGAAACTGCAATGTAGAAGTGGAAATTGCAATGCATAAACGGAAACTGCAATACAAAAATGGAAACTGCAATGCTGAGTTTGGGCAAAAATGCTCAGCTTTAGAGTTAAACAAAACAAAACTACATTTTAAAAAAAAAAAAAAAAAATTCAAGACATGTTGGTAAGATACTCTATTTCTAGCAATGCAGTTTCCAAAAGTCCAATTTTGAGTTCCCTTTGTTCACCCGTTTTGATTTAATGCTGTGATGGTAGAGTAAAGTTCCCTATTGGCTTGACAACCATTTGTGGTCAGCAAGTCAACTTTCTTTTGTGTATGGGCGTGCCGATGCTAGTAGTTTAAAACCCTAACAGACTTCTAAAAAATAGATAACTTGCGCCCCAAGTTACTGATTCTAAACAAGCAATTGTGAATTTGAGTGAGGAATATCTCCCAAGTAAGTTTTTTTCTTGCCTCAGATTGGTGAGGACTTCAAAAATTTTCACAGTACAAAACTGGTAGTTCTGGCAAGAATAGATGAAAAGAAGATAAATTGTTTAAGCAGAACTGTCTATTACAGGACTCAAAGGAGAAATTGCAACTCCGAAAAAGACAACAGAACGTTGGACTTCGATTTCTGTCTAGATAGCTGCCTCTGAACTAGGCTGGACTGGATATTTCTATGTTGTATTGAATCGTCAGCACCTTCAACTGATGAGTTTCAGCTGAAATCGATACCAACGTTTGAGTTTGGCAGAGCTTCAATTTCTTTCGAGCCATGGAAGACTTGTCGAACGGGCAGAATTGAGGCCTTTTTAGTCTGAAGATGACAGAAGTGGCTAGATTGATGGCAACTGAGCTGAAGCTGCGCTATGGTACCTATTCTGCTTAACTGAGGCTTTCTGTAAATTTGTTGAGGTTTTCATATTTGTAAAAACCCAAACTCTGCTTGACTTGGCTTTGTGCTGAACCAAATTTGTAACGAGAGAAATCTCACTTTGTAAAACTGTTTCTTTAGACTGAGCTGAAACTAGATATTTGACTTCTAGCTGATTTGTTTCTTGTGGGTCAAAGAGCTTTTGGTTGCTTCCGTGTCTGAAGGTTTCTTGAGATCAATTGATCTTTTTGATTTTGTCAGTATGACTTTGAGCGTTTTTATCTTGATTGATTTTTTGGCTGTCCTTTGATCTGTTCACCTCCTCTCATATTTATAGGAAATGCTAGAGTGAGGTTTTTAATCTTTAATAATGGGCAGCAAATCTTTCAAAAAGATTTTTCTCTTTTAATTGTTTACAAAAAGATTCATTTATTTTTTGGGCTGAAAAGAATCATCAATAGTCAATTTCCATGATGGTCCTTTCCCTGCTTTCTCCTAAAAGCAAACTAACTCTTCTTGTTTCTCTAGCTTGTTTCTTCCAAGAACCGCAATCTGCCATGATGGTTAGTTTGCTTTTCCTGGTGAACAACTCCCTTACTCCTTACTTATCTTTTGAAAATGTAGCCTACTTATCTCTTGGAAATATAACCTACTCTGGTTTATAGTTTTTTTATTATAAATTTGATCTTTTTTTCCTGGCTACAAAGTGGAGAAGTTCTTCAGTAAGACCTGTCTTCATTAACTCCCTCTTCTTCTGTGATAGTTTTTGATTTCCAATAATGGTAATTGGTTTTTAGAACTTGGTAATATTTTGAAAACTGTCCAGGGAATGGTCTGGGCTTTTTCATCACTTTGGGCCAATTTCAATAAATACAAAACCCAATTGTATTTTTTGTTTGTGGGCTTTTCAACAAAATAGGCTGGTGTGCAAAAGTTTGGCCCAAACATCCTTGCTCTTGGGTAGTTCTACTATTCTCTTGCCCACCCAATTTCTTATTTGAGTATCTACTCTTCAAATTAATGAGGTTGAAGGCCAAGGAAAGAGCAAAAATCCAATTGTAATTCAATGAAAACTGCAATACAGAACCTGTACAATGTAGTTTTGAAATACCATTTCCAAAAAAAGTTCATACCCATGCACCAAAAAGCTAAACCAAAACTTGATAAGAATTTCAATATTAGAGACCCTTTGAAACATATTGTATGTGCAAGCTTCATATTTTGGATTCGTTCGTAAAATTGAACAAAAAACATAATTTGACATTCAATTTCCAAGCACTCAACCAAGACAAATTGATCTGAATCCTAATATTCAAAGACTCGTATTTACAAAATAAACAAAATGCAAATGAAATTCTTGGTAAAATTACGGACAAAAAATCAAGTAGACATCAAATGCATGCAAATTAATCTCAATAATTTCAATCAATGAATTCGATCAGACGAAGATTCAGATATATTCCATACCTAAATAGATCCAACAAGACGTTGTTGATGGGGATGAAGATCAGCTTCATGAAGAACCCAACGAATCCCATCATTACGAACTCTACACCACAATTGATCATCAAATCCATCAATTACATATAACAAAATTGAAAACCCTAATTTCCATTAAACCCGATCTGCAAAGATACAGATCTGAATATTTATACATATAAAGTTACCCTTGCGATCAGGATTGCAGCACCGCTTGACGAGTCGAATGTTGTCCTTAGAGAACTCTATGAGCGGATCCACTACTAAATCTATGGCGTCCATTTTCTCTGAGCAAATTGGGTGAGAGAAAGAGTGAGAGATATGTAAGGAAATAGAGACGTAGTCGAAGACAAAGTTAAGACGCATTTAGGACAGTGGTAAAAAATGGAGGATTTTTATTTGAGGCAGTTGCTATGCTGCGTTTGTCCAAGAAAGAGAAAGAAATGGTGAGATCTGATTTTGGAAGACTTTTAAACAAAAAGGGTAAATTTATATTTTACCTTTATTATTTAAACAAGCCCAACGAATCTGGGTCTCCTCTTTGGCCAAATTTGAAACAAAATTTGATTTCTATGTATCAAAACCCAAACAGAAATACTTTAGGTATCAAATCCTCATTAGTAAAGATTTTTATGTTCAATACCTAATTTGTAACAACTCGGTCCTTAATTAATATTTAATTATTAATTTATTCTAGTAAAAGACAATTATACTCTTAGAATATTTTAATGATTTAAAAGTTGACTCTTTGACCGGGAAGGAATTTGGAGATTTCAATTATACCGTTGCATATAGCGCAGCGAGATGAGTCCGTAGACACGTAGTGGGCTCAAATCAGAGTTGTAACGAAGGAGTTACGATCAAAAGAATTTTAGTGGCATAACCGTAAATATTTCAAAGTTGAATTCTTAAAAACCCAGATTTCTCCTATGTCGGCAACTCGACCAGCCGACTTTAGGAGATGATTTCTCTTAGCTCCGAGCACCAATTTGAGGGAGACAGATGCCAAACGAACCACCTCACTCCCCTATTTCAGTCTCAGCCCATCCCAGTCTCGATCCGTCGTCTTAGTCGCCGGAATCCGTCACGAAACAGGCGGTGCCAGACAGTTTTTGACAGAACTTCCAACCTTTCGTTCTCCGTCGTTCAGCCACCAAATCGGACGAGTGAGGTATGGTTTTCTAGCTATTTTTCATGCTCTAGCTGCTGGTTGGGTAGGATTTCAGAGATTTCAAGTGTAGATCATTCGATTGTTTAAGTTAGGTTTCAATAGATTTTCAGGTTACTGTTTCTGCCACTTCCGGCCACTTTTTGGGATATGTCCAAGAACAAAAGTTGTTCCAAATGGGGTGTTTTACTTAAGTTAGGAGTTTGACCCGGTGGTTTGGAGTTTTTCCGACCGCTAGGAATTGATCAAGCCACCCACACACTGCCGGCCCGTGTGGCGGCGCGTGGACAGATTGGTAGAGACCACTTTCAGTTCTAGAATGATCCTTGGGTCGTCACGAGTGTGTAGGAATTCGCGGATTTCAATTTGGTTAACGATTGAACCCCGAATGGATCTCGCATATTGTGAGTGATTTCCGGGTTCGATACGTTTGAACCGTTGGATCGCAGTCAATTTCAAGTATGTTAATCTAAGTAATTGCAGGATCGTATAGTAGTTGACAGATCGTAAAACGGAGTCCCAGATACTCCAGGAATATCAGCCCTAGTGCGAGTTTACGGATAAATAAACCAGTACAGATAGACGAACCAGTTGCAGATTAGGAGATCAGGAACAGAGGAAAGAACTACGTGTGGCTTGATCCCTCAGTAAGGGTACGTAGGCAGCCTACAGTTATCAGGCGCAGCCACAAGTTAGGGGCTCAGGGTTTGCGTTATTGTTTTTCAAGGCATTTTGGTCACTTACGACCCACAGTCACCAGGTGTCAGTTTTAAACAGGATTCGACCCGGATTCCAAAGTGGAATTTGAGTCGGGTCGTTTCATAATTATTCTAATAAAATAACATAATAACATATATATATATATATAACATCAATATAAAAAATAATTAAAAACAAAGGAGTGTAAGTGAACAAAAGATGAGTGAAAAAATCAGCTCCCTTATGTAACTAGAGTCTTACATGTTAGTAATGCCTTAAAGATAGAATTCCGCATATTCTCAATGCTTGAATTTCAATAGAGGTTTATCTCCTATGAAAAAGTGGGACAAAAAGCATTGCATTTACTTTCAAACTCCAATACCACCTCCCCTTTTTCCTAATAAAGTAATAATAATAAAATAAAAAGTTTACCTAATGTATTGGCAAAGTCAAACGATGGACCAAAACTTCCATTATTAGTTACCAAATCCATTTATTAGCAAGAGTAATGCTAGCAATCTTCTTTCTAACCCTCTCTTTTGGACCTTCTCCCTTCTCTTCATGACAAGTGTCACTTTCCTTACACTTAAAACAATATCATTAATGCATAACACAAGTTATTTTTTGTTTTTTAATTTTACCCTTATTGAATGTATTAACTCTTTTTAATAACAAGGTAGTGTTTTTACAACTTTCTTATTACCTTGTTAAAAAAATTAAATAAGAAAATAAAAACTGAAGTTTTATTTATTTATCTTCCAAAGAGGACGTACGTTTTGTTAAACACAAAATAATGATGATATCACTTTCATGATAACAATGTCATGAAACAAATTTTTTTTTTAATTTTTAAAATGACGTTTTTTTTGTTATCTTTTTTTGTTATTTAATTTTTAACAATATGCTAAGGAAATTGTAACAAAATTTGGATAAGTTGTAGGAAATATAAAAGCTAATATATTTAATAAAGGCAAACTTGGAAAACAAAAAACTAACTTGTGTGATGCATTAATGATATTATTTTAGGTGTTAGGAAAGTGACACTTGTCATTAGGAGAATGGAAAAAGTCCAAAAAAGAAAGTTGTTAGCATTCCTCATGTTATTTACATGGAAAATGTTATGGAGAGAGAGAAGAGAAAGAAACAGTGTCGTGACCCGCACCTGATCATAGTCCTATTATTGGAATATCTTTTTGACTTACATTATTGATCATCTATGATTAAACCATAACTATTAATTATCACTAGGTTTCTAATAATTTGATGTTATAAAATTATAACGTTAAAGCATCAAGAGTTCAAAGTTTTGCATAAAGATACACAAGATCTCTTGGGCAGAGCAGAGCGGCAATGGAAACAAATATTTATTCTTGGAGGCACCGAACAAAGGGAATAGTGGTGGGTCAATGTGGGATTTTATTTTAACGTGGGTGACCACTAACGAGTTTTCACTTATTTAGAGCATCCACAATGGGCTCTCTAAACCACCTTCTTAGACAAATTTTAGGGAGGAATTATAAAAATGCAACTCCAATCACGCTCCCTATCCACCTCCTAAAATAGGGAGTCCTCTATGAGCTCCTAAATCTGAGGAGAGAGTAAGGACTCCTAGTAGCTCCCTATAATTTAATGCTGCTTTATTTAATGAGTATTTCAAACCTTTATTTAATGCTAACTATTTTTTATTTTATTTTTTAATAGAGATGGACCAATCAAAAAAGAGTTATAGCATTTATGACTCTCCAAATTAGAGAGTATAGTTGGAGTTGAAATTTTTTAGAAAGCTCCTAAAATAGCTTTCTTATATTCTTAGTCAAATTTTAGTTAAGAAATAGAGAGCATCATTGTGGATGCTCTTAGACACATACATTGAATCTCGTAAGCAAATGGTCCATTCACCTTTGAAGAACAGTCCAACAATTATTAAGATTGATAGTGATTCTCCCTTCATCATTGTGGATGCTCTTGGACACATACATTAAGATGGTCCATTCACCTTTGAAGAACATTCCAACAATTATTAAGATTGATAGTGATTCTCCCTTCATCATTGTGGATGCTCTTGGACACATACATTAATCTCGTAAGCAAATGGTCCATTCACCTTTGAAGAACAGTCCAACAATTATTAAGATTGATAGTGATTCTCCCTTCATCTTAAACCTTAACCACTTTCTATTTGTCCAATGTTTGACTGCCACGTCAGCACCCATAATACAATACAGCATTATATTTGAGCACTGATAAATTTTGTCACCTACTTTGGTCACTGGCCAATCAGATGAATCAAATTTCTCGTACACGAATATTTTAATTTATTCTTATGGAAGTTTTGGTCCACAGTTTGCTTGTTGTGTGGTATTATTCCCATATCTCATTAACCTCTGCCATCAAGAAACTGCGCACCCATGGAGTTCTCTCTTTCATATCTCACATCTTCTTCTCCATCTATCATCTTTGCCTTTCTACTATTTCTCTTCTCTCTCCTATGCATATCTAAATATTACCAAACTAACATAGCCAAGAAGAGAGCACCTCCGAAAGCACCCGGCGCATGGCCCCTAATCGGACACCTTCCCTATCTAGGAGGGCCTCGGCCTCCCCACATAAGCTTGGGCAACATGGCTGACAAGTACGGACCAATCTTCACAATCAAGCTAGGCGTGCACCGAGCTCTTGTTGTAAGCAACTGGGAAACAGCCAAAGAGTTCTTCACCACCAATGACAAAAACTTTGCCACCCGCCCTAAATTTTTGGCTGCAGAGATCATGGGCTATGACTATGCCATGTTTGGTTTTAGTCCCTACGGCCCTTATTGGCGGCAGATGCGCAAGATAGCAACCGTGGAGCTCCTCTCAAACCACCGGTTGGAGTTGCTCAAGCGCGTGCTTGAATATGAGGTTCAAGCTTGTACAAAACATATATATGATTTGTGGGAGGAAAACAAAGGTAGGTCAGAGAAAGTGTTGGTGGAGATGAATAGGTGGTTTGGAGACGTGACTTTGAACGTAATGTTCAGGATGGTTGTGGGGAAACGATTTCTTGGGGCAAAAACAAAGCAAGAGGAGGAAGAGAACGAGAGGTGTCGAAAGGGGTTGAGGGATTTTTTCAAATTGGGGGGTGAGTTTGTGATCTCGGATGCACTTCCGTTTCTTAGGTGGCTAGATTTGGGTGGGTTTGAGAAGGCCATGAAGAAGACGTCTAAAGATCTTGACGTTGCCCTTCAAGGATGGTTGGAAGAGCATAAGCAAAAAAGAAGTAATTGTGGGAATGCAAAGGCTGAGCATGACTTCATGGACATGACGCTTTCTGTTTTCGATGAGATAAAGGCAGAGGACATTCCAGCTTCTACTAGTACATCTGCTGATACAATCAACAAAGCTACTTGTCTGGTATATAACGGGGTTTCGTTTATTTATTTATTTTAGTAAATTTGGCTTACATCATTCAAATTCAACTTACATTACCTACAACTCTTCACTTTTTGTTCATATAAATAATACCCAATTTTTGTAAGTAAAAATCCATTACTAGGATCATACTCATCAAATTACCTTC